TAATTGCAAATATTATTTTACATGTGCATGACTGCAAACTTAACAGTAGCTTTCAGATAATAACGAGAAGTTTAACAAACAGGAAGTAGGGCACCGTTTCACGGCCACGCTTATTGTGTATAAAATCTGATGTGCAGTAATTTGATATAACCACTGCTACAATAGTGGTCAAGAACGAACATAATACAAATAATATTAGGCTTTCTCTGTTGCAAGTAGACAGTGAAAAGATATTTTGACTTATGCATTCATCACGGTGCTACAGAAAGGCTTGTAACATAACGCCCTTAGCGCATTTGTACTTGAGAATAAAAAGGCGCATGCAACCGTTACCAAACGTTCAGGACAAATGAATGCCGAAAGAGGACTTCGTAAAGCGGAAGTGAAAGCGTTTCATGGGCAGCACTTGGATAATTATATTAACTCTTTGTACCTTTTAGCCTCTGTCTCCTGCAAAAAAGGTTAAGGCTACAAGGTAAGTCCCCTAAACACATACCTTGCAGATCTTTACACTATTAAGATTTGCTTGATATAAACTGGTCAGAAAATGCCGGAACACCATCAAATTCATAAACAGCTCATCGTTTGCGCAAGAAACACATAATTATGATAGTATTTTACCCACTGAAGGGCTGTAAAGGCCAGCTTCTCTTCACTTTGTCTTGCTTTTCTCCACTTATCGCACCTTCCCTTTCCATGCCTTTAAAGCAGCAAAATGGCAGGTGCGGGATAAAAAAATGGACAGGCAGAGATATAGAATTATATTGTATCCACTGTAAAATTCAACAGAGAAGAGCTAACAGCAGTGAAAAAGCGCTAACATATTCTCAAAGTAAAACAATACCCCTCAAGATGCTAGATCTAGGTACACATCTAATTGAACTACATGAGGTGACAAAAAATTTGTGACTAATATTTACAAAAATTTAGTTTACGTTCCTCGTTTTCCATTTCGACTGGAAAAAGACAAATGCAGGGTAAATTTTTGCGCTTTAATCAAGCCTTTTTAGTGCAAGTACATCTACAAAATTTTCCAGCTCACTGCTTAGACAGTCTGTCAGTGAAAACGGCAAGTGTTTAATTAAAGTACTGGTTGAAATCCAATGGTCTGGACGCTTTTTTCGACTTCAGCAAAGAATAAAAAATCTTGGCTTATTACTTATATTATTGACCACAACATTCAACTTCCTTGGTAAACTTTTCATAAAATGTGCTTGTTAAGAATTTTTTGGCTTTCCTTTCCAGAAATTTTTCGGCTGTCTTTGGGACTTGCAGTTTTTATTGCACTTTTGAAGATTTTTTGCCGCCATGCCAAATGTGGGAGTAAACGAAACTTCTTGTACTCCTATGCTTAATTGTGAAGAATTGGCTAGCTTCTTTGAGAGCAGCAGCCAATCACGTCAATTTTTTTCTGATGTTCGGATGCTTCAAAGAAATGTTTTCTTATATAGCTTCTCCTGTCATTTTCTTTCAAAAATAACCTCCCATGGGTTCAAACAATAGAATTTTTTTATATATCACTTGACATCAAAGATAACTTCGACAATGACTTATTTTGTAATTGGGCACATGATAGACATCAGTAGTTTGTAAAATGCCTCCTCTTAAGTACTGCTGTGGCTCTGGTGTGAGCGATATTATCGAAGAATTGCTTGCTGAAAAAATTGCTTGCTGATTGCTTGCTGACTAGGCGAATTAGTGAATAGTGTTTTAGCAATATTAAAAGAACAGAAAGAAAGTAGTAAATGAATTACAAAAGATTCATTTGAACACCTAGGTGAACGTATATGATTGCGAAAAGTGTAAAACAAAGAACCCAGCTGCGATCCGCACCAGCATTGCCGGTGCCATCATACGTTTTTGCAGCCTTCTGTTACGTCTCGTACCCTGCTAAGTCAAGCAATATTCGTACAAAATTTCATATTTATTTCTTACCTACCTGACTGCCAAGAAAGTAGGATGACCGCAGCGTTGCAAGTTGAACATTTTATACGTCTGCACATGGAGCACTCCCGTAAGCAAAATCTCATTTTGTGCCTGGTGGTCTGCACAAGAATAGGAAATTTTTTCACATAAAAATGCTGCCGCCTGTCCAGCTTAGTTACGGAGTGGAACTAAACTTTCAGTTTCGTGCATGCGAGACTTAGACCAGCTTCAAAGCTGGATATGAAACATTTATGTCGCAGAGGGCATGGAATATCTTCCCGAATTTCATTCCAAGCTTGAGTGTTTGGTGAAATCGCTTTTCGTTTTATATTGAACATCTTTGAACATACAACACAGGTGCAAGTCAAAGCTCGCTTTATGCATACATGCCCACTTATGGATAACAAATATTACCGCAAAGTCAAGACGCTCCGCTCAGCCTTGCTCCCGAGTTAGCCTTTTGCCAACAGCGTCTCGATTTCGGCATGTGTGCCCTGGACGTTCGTGATAGCTGAGTATGAAATCTTTATCTCACAAAAGAAGAATATAGCACATCCTTACAAAACTTCATTTGGTTCCTGAAATTGTTTTCCCGCCAAAAACTTTATGTTCTTCGGCTTTCGTGCGTGACAGCCCAAGCGTGCGTGAACGACAATTTTGAAATGATTGGGCTGGAAAATGCTCCAAAAGTTTCAACTCCCTAGCTTCTCTGACTGCTAAGTTGAAAGTGGGTTACAAAAATGCGAATGCATCGGTACAAACCCATGCACACATACACACACACACACACACACACACACACACACACATGCACACACACATACGGACAAACAAACAAGCAACTTCTTGCCAATATGCGCTTTTGCATTTGCATAAATATGCTAAAATGCATAAAAAGGAAAAACTGCTAATTACAGCGATAGCGCCAGTAACAGCTAATTACCAAATTAAAGCTGATGATGATGATCATAACGTACTCCTAGAAGTTCTTTGCTACAGGTTCCTTAATTTGTGAACAACTTATGCAAGCTGTTTTAGCTGCTTTTGCTTTCTTTCGGGTTCCAATCCGAGTTTTATTTCTACCTCTCGTTTTTTCGCGTTTTTACTATGCGTTTTTGCTGCGCAGCGCTACTGCGCTGCTACAGCGAGCAAAAATGCACATTGTCGAGAGGTCGTCTGTGCGTGTGTGTTCGAAAGCGAGTAAACTTTGTCACCCACTTTCAGCTCAGCAATCAGGAAAGCTAGGAAGCTGAAATTTTAGGGTCATATCCCCATCCCATGCATCACCCTCTCGTTTTAAAATCTTCGCTCACACACATCTAGATCCCACATACGGACCCCGAAAAAAACATGCAAATTTTTTTAGCGGGAGAACTATTTTGCGAGCCAAACAAGATAGAAAGCTAAAAATTTGCTGGAGTATTCTCTGTACATGTAGAAGCTAAAGATTTCAAAATCAACTACAGCACACGCTTGTACCGCGCGTATGGTCACGTCAATTTTTACAGATGGCGCTTTGTTAAATCAAAAACTAGCAAGAATACAGTAGCTGAAATTTTGTCAAAATATTTGATGTTCATATAGGAAATTGTATATCTAAACTGAGCTTCGATTTGCACTTGCTCCACGACTTAGGGCACATCAAAGATACTTGTAGCGAAATGAGTATTTCGCTCCCAGACGAGCTGCGAAGCTGAAATTTTGCAGCGATTTGCGTATGGTCTCAGTTCAGCTTTCCTTGCATACAGTTATTACAAATACCGCAAACTCAAAATGAGTGCACCTTGTAGATTTCATAATCCTTTCCGGACTTTCTTCAAATTTACACTTTTCTAGTGAGCCAGCATTCACCGGTAAACGACCTGGCCTCAAGCAAAAACCAGATAATCATGCATGCTGGAGGTCCATGCGGCCGCATAATGTAACACCTTCATCTCTGCCGACGCTCTTTCCTCCTGCATGCAGGAAGAGGCCAAAACACATCCAGTATGAGTCTAACTGTTATGCTGCTGGCAGTCTACAAGCTTAGCGCAAGGACGCACGATCGTACCGGCAAGCCTGGTGCGTTGCAGCCTAGATTCTTTCTTTTTGCTATGAACAAATACCTATGCTCTTGCAGCAATATCTTACTTCCAGGGCTTGGGAAAAGCAAGTCATTTGAAATTTAATGCCATCAGCTGAAACACTGCTTTTTCATTAGAAAGAACAAATATTATTTTTTGAAATTTAGATCTGAATTTAGCGCCTTTCAGTCTAATTTGCTGGTGGAAAGGCAAAAGCAACAGCAGTCGTAGCAAAAGCAGTAGCGCTGTTAGTTGTAAAAAAAAACAACAGTAGCTGCGGCACCAAGAGCGCAGCGAACTGCAAAAATTTACTACAAATGGAAAAAGAATTGTTTTCTTTTCAAGAATTTGTGAATAATTCCGAGGAAATGAGCAAATATCAGGAAAGCAAAGATACTAGGTTTGCTGTGCTGGAGGACAGTCATCTCAAATGAGGAGGCTATTATCCGCTCAAATGAGAATTGGAAAAATTTTTCAGCTATAAGCTTGTGTGCAGTGCGCATAAAGTACACTTTCCTGCTCGAACGCGCTTCTAGTGATTTAATAGGTCATCTCAGATATTTTCTTGACGTAGTAGAGAAGCCAGTCATTTTAAACTTACTCACAGCCTCTTTTTTCCGCATGAAAACAACATTTTTTTTTTTTAAAAAGGAAAAAATATCCAGCTGCCTTTAAAGTGTTAATTAATTTCAAATTTCGGAAAGTTTCTTTTGGATTGACGATGGGTTGAATTATATTTTTCAGAAAATAATATTTGGTGCGTTTACATACCATTTGTTGATATGGGAAAGTTGTTGTAAATTGTATATTTTATATACTAATGCTTTTTTATCATTTTTCCTGATAACTCTAATTTGAAATTGTATAAGTGTACAATTTCAGATTCACATGCACAGCTACAACTCTGAACTTCCCTTCCAAATTTCCTTCTGTTTCGAATTATTTCTTCAGCTCCAAAATTTGCCTAATTTATAACCGGGTAATGATGGATCAAGACACGGACTGGGAATTTCAAGGAAGTATTTGCGGTCGTCTTCGTCTCGTCACATCCAGTCCTCCGCGGCTGATCGTCTTCTTTTCATTCTGCAAATCCGGGCATCTTATCGTTACTTCGACAGATCGTTGACTCGCTTTTGGTCCCACCAAATCAGATTGAGCATCAATTTTTGGATACACCTGTCCGTAATGAGAGCCCTTAACAGGAAGCAACCAAAAGGTCATTGTGCACAGTCAGGTGATTGGTACGTGCGGCTTCACTTTGTAGGAAACCCATAATAAAACAGTGATATATGCCTCGAAGACAACCACAAGTTTTTGCAGTCAGTTTCCTGAACAGAAATCGAAAAGGGCTGGAATGCGCACTTATATTGTATCTTTGTCTGTCTTTCATTTGATCATGTGGACAGGCACAATATCCCATCGAAACTCTATAGGCTATCCTAAAAATGGCCAAGTTAGAATCCATGCATGCTCTAAGCTGCCTAATGCAACTACTAGTGAGCCGCTTTGCCAGTCAGTCATAGTGGCTTAAGGAAAAGGGTTTCTTTTGTAAATTTTCACAGCGTTTTTTTTTTTTTTTGGACTTGGTTGGAATCCTGGTGAAGCAGAAAATGTAAAGCTCGTTGCATGGGGTGCATTCTCCCAGCGAGACAAAAATAAATTCAGTGACTTAGCTCTACATTTAGGCCTGGGACAATGGGAATCCCCTCAATAAATCCCTCAGAAAATAGTTCAGTTTGATGGCCTCAGTCGTAGCTCACGAACTGGATTAAGCTGCTAAATTTTGGATTTTTTTACACCGTCCAGGAGTTATAAAACTGATTTGGATCCGAGCCGAAGATTATTCGTAAGGAACGAGGTGCCGATTTCAATTTTTTCACCTGCATGGTTGGTAATTATAAAGTGCTGGAATCTTCGCATCGTGCTCTCAAACTGCGATGCTGAATTGCAGAGAAAACAAAAAATGCGCTCTGCTTATTACTTTTTTGCGTTGCTCCTGCAAAGAAAAAATTAGTAAGCATCAGTTATAGACAGCAGCTAGTTTTGAGTTCATTTGACATATGTAGATTGGTAAACAGTTCATAAAGGCTGCAGAACGGATAAGGCAAAAGTCCAACATTGTAATTAGTTTCGTTTTTTCTCTCGAGCGTGGATACTGCATTCATTTTAAATGTGTCAAAAAGCCGAGCCGCCTGGCTGCCACGACAACTCAAATTCACTCGCAATGCCTGTTCTGAGTGCTAATAAGCATTTGTCGAATATAATTTCAAATGGGCCGAAGTGCCCTTGATTCAAAGCCGACGCTGGCAAAAGCCAGGCTCAATACGATCCGTTGATTCATTGTTATGATGCGGCGTGCTAACTAGAACTTAAGCCTTTCTCTGCCTTTTCCTTTGGGTTGCATTATTCATAACAATGCCGTTTTCGTTTTGTGCTATTCCATAGTGTTCGTTGACAGTGTTTTATGTTTCATTTTTGAGGTCTTTGCGGTTCAAAGTTTTTTTTTTTT